CCTCTCTTTTTTTTCACAATTTTTTCTTCTATCAGCTTTTACCCCCTTCCCCTCCCCCCAATCCAACGATGACCGTTCGGCCCATGGCTGTAACTCCAACGATTCCCGGAGAAAAGCTCACCGGAGAAAAGCTCACCGGAGAGAAGCTCACCGGAGAAAAGCTCACCGGAGAAAAGCTCACCGGACCAATGGAGAAGGCGGAGAAAAGCTCACCACACTCAATGAGTGACTCGTCTATTTTCACTTCCACATATTATTTCCGCATTAAAGAGCGAAAGTGATTTTGCACAGAGGAGTCATAAATTGAATGATTTGCGTTTATTTTCTCTCAAACATGAATTATTTTTTTCATACACGCACGTTAGAATCGTATACAATTTCCGACCGCTTCCAGAAGGGGTGGAACTTGTTTGTGCTCAAGATAGTCCAGGCAGATGTTCCTGAGGCGGTCCTGTAGGCGCCTTGTTGCCCTTTTGGTCTTCTTCGTCGGCGGTTCCCCACGGCTTATTTGCAGCAGCATTACTTCCGATAGGGCTTGATCTTGTTGCAAGCAGTCGATCAGCTTCCATATACTGGGCTGGCTGTGCCCGACAAGCTTCTTAAACCCGCTGTTCCATCCTTCGCATGCGCTATTTGTGCGGTCTTCGTTGTTTAATGTGGCTTCTAACACGTTCCACACTGTCGGCGGAAACTCGGGGCGTCTTCGGCGCATCGTTGTGGTTAATGCGCCATCGGCTACTCTCGATGACACTGCTCGGAACGTTCCGTTTACATACGTCGCGTCAAAATAGTCGATGAGGTCATCGAGGTCTGTTGGAGCCTGACCACGGATGTAGTCCAGCCCAACTGGAACAAGGTCGGGAGGGAGGAATGCGAGGCCGTCTAGCATTCCACACATCTTCTTGAACCTGTCGTCCGTCTTGTACCTGCTGATGAGGCCCAGCTCGCGTACCTTGAAAAAGAATCGAACAAAAAGAGATACGATGAGATCCTGATGCGGTTGCATTAATTGAGTTTGACGTAGAGGCTATATCTTGGTACTGGGGAGCTAAGCACTTCAAAATTAGTCAAACGCCTTTTCTCTGTTTTTGATGTCATATCATAGGTTTTATGTTGGTTGGCCATAGATGGTTGGTACTAGAGGCGTCCATATTTCTTTTCAAGATTATTTTGGGAGTAACGTTACCTTGCGGTGGGTACTCTGGCAGAGGTGAAAGAAGCAGCCTTTCGTGGTGACATCTTCTCCGAAGACCGCTTTCGACGCTCTTATGGCGGCCATCTCATAGTCGCTAATGATGATCTCAGGGTATGGAGCATAACCGTTCGCTTCACACGTGTCCAAAATAGCTTGAAAAAGCTCTTCGTATATGGAGAAGGTTTTGCCTGGGAGCAGAGCATAAACGCACGCCACGGTGCTCTCCCCAGCACCTCATAACGTACAACTGTTTAAACAGTCTTGGGCACACCAAGAATGTTCCATCCATGTACCAGGTTCGGCTTGTTGATAGTGCCCGCAGCTGTTCATGGCTTGCAAAAACGAGCATGCGGTCTCGCCTCTCCGCCCGTTGTCATAGATCAAAAACGGTTGCTTTTCCGGCCCTCCGGTCATTGTCCAGGTATCTCGTAATTGAATATCAGCAGTGGTCTGGGGTTCCGGCGGACGCACCTTACTTCTTTGCTGGCGCAGGTCACGACGAATAGTCTCGAGGCTACCGATGCTTTCGCGCACGGATGTTGTTGAATTGCTCAAAGCCTGAATTAAGCAGACGGCTAGGAGGCTCTGCGGTCTCTACAGCTGGCTCCTTAGTTTGGTGACATCAGAAAGGCCATGATTGTTTGCATGATTGTGCTCCTGCACTGACCAAAAGCGGGTAATCTGCGTTTAAAAATGACAAAAATTTGTGTCAGCAATAATGTATATGTAACTCTAAATGTAAAAACGAAAGAAGGTTTTACGTAAAAACGCTTGTGCAAATAAAGTGAAACATTACTGCAAAACTTGCACACAAGCGAAAAGTATGATATTTCGTACTTACATCAAGATTGGTGGTGATGGCTCCCTTGCAGCAACCTGTTCGTTGGTACCGGCACTGCCAGCGTATCCAGTCGTTTCTTGTAACTTTCATACAATATTCGTACCCATCTAGAAGCACTTTCTTCTTTCCCTTATTGGTCAGAATGACCTCCATGACACAAGGAAGGCAGGACTGGTCACTTGATAGGAGGTGCTGTTTATATATGCAATTTCCTTTAGCTCCTCTTGCGTAACCATACAGCTTCTGACCAATAAAAAAGCAGACTGTATTTCTCACAAAGAGAGCGGAGAAATACTTGTTCTTGGGTTGCCAAAGGCATGGTAGCGCTTTTTTGGACGAGGACAAAAGAAAGACAAGACAGACACGAGCGCTGACTGCAACTATTTAATCAACATGGAAATGAGGCATATATACACGCTTCGATCCTATCAATCAACCAACCCCAGGCCTAGCCGCCACCTGCATGAACTGCACTTCCTTATCGAAAAGGTCGATAGATGCAACGCTGACACACCCCAGCCCTGCCCTTTTTATTTCGTCTGCTTCAATAATCTCCCTAACAGTTCTATTTTTATGTTTAGCAAGTACGGAACATGAGTCAAACAAAGGTTTGCATCCGCAGTCATGGCAGTGCACTGAAAGATGGCCATCCCGATAGTTTTTTACGTTCAGACTATGTTCTCGGAGCCTATCGTTCAGGCATCTCCCAGTCTGACCAACATACTTCTTACCGCATGTTAAGGGAATCTGATATACCACACCCTCAACACAAACGACAAACGGATTTCTGTGCTTAATCACACAACCCAGCGAGGCTTTCCGGAAAGGGTTCGTCAAATGACTAAGCCTGGCTAGCTTCTCTGGCGCAGAAAAGACCACCTTAGTGTTTATGCGGCTTGCTATTTTCTTTAGGTTATGCGCCGTCTTGTGCATATAAGGCACGACTGCAATCCTTTGTTTACTCCTGGCCTCTTCTGGACGGGTGTTGCCCTTAGCTCGAAGCCTCTTAAGGATCACCTCGGCTACCGACACCAGTACAGCCTCCGGGTAGCCAGCCGCCAACAGACGTTCAGACTGCTCCTGGACACTCAAATGTGCCACGTGGTGACATGACTTATGAAGGGCGTTCTTGAAGCACAAATTAACAATCCCTCTCTTAACCAGTTTTGAGTGGGACGAATTAAAAGGCAGCAGGGGCTTGTTGGCTCTAGGTTGATACATCCAACATACATGATTCTCGACGAAAGTAAGCCTGATGTCGAGGAAACGGATGACACCATCTACGGGCACTTCATGTGTAAGTTTCAGGGGATGAAGGGCATCACTAAACATAGTTAAAAGACTATCCACCACCGAATGGAAATGTGTCGAGTCGCAGTTAAGAAATACTAAAAAATCATCAACAAATCTAAAACACTTCCTTACGTTAAAATCGCTCAGGCAGTCCGAAAGGACTCTGTCATGATACGCTAAAAAAAATGTCACTTAAAATGGGCGCTAAACATGAGCCGATACAAATACCTTCCTTTTGAAGGTACGTGTCTTTGTTCCATTCCGCGAAAGTAGACTTAAGATAAAACGAGAGTAGATCTAAAAAGTCATCCACCGTCACGCCCACAGCGTTTTGAAAAGCCACAACCCCATACCCCTGAATACAATCCTCAACGCAACTTCGTAATTTGTCATGAGGTGAGGAGTAATAAAGATCTTTAATGTCCAATGAACATGCCAAAAAACCTACGTCAGCGTTCATCTTCAAAAAATCCACCACTTCGTCAGAGCTCCTGACCAAAAACGGGTTGTCAATGGTAAGGATCTTTAGTTTATCTTGCAACCACAACGCAATCGACTTTTGCCAAGTGCCATGCTCAGAGACTATGACCCTCAAAGGCCAGTCTTCCTTATGTGTTTTCACACTGAACATAATCTGTAAACAACCACTTCTGCTATTTTCAACGCTTTTAGCCAAGCGGGTCAGGTTTAACCTATTACAAAGACGCTTCCCCTCTCCCTTCAGTTTTTTCAGAGGCACATCCTGCCGTAGATTGAACACGGAGGTGATAGCCTCGAGGGCTTTCCCTCCGAATTCCCCCTCCGTTAAAACAACAAAACCCCCTTCTTTATCAGCGGGAAGGACCGACAAGTGCCGTTCCCTTAACAAAGAGACGACACGTCTAACTGGCAGACGGGACGGTGCCGGTTTTTTACGGGGTAACGCATCCACACCCTCAGATATGCATCTCTTAATTTCGTCCTCTGGAGCGCACCTAGAGACATCCCGGACAAGCCCTAGAAGTTCCGGAGCACTCATAACCGGTTCAACGGCAAACTTAGGCCCTAAAGCAAGTACCCGTCTAGCTTCCTCAGGGAGCTGCACATCACTTACAGTCCTGACGTTGCAAGTAACCACTGGACGTTTCTTGGGTATGCTGCCTCTAAGACGTGTCAGCGACTGCTGCCAGATGAATTCCGTGCACCGGTCCACGATGCCGAAGAACTCCCGCAGTCGTCGGCTGTCCGAATCCGGCTTGCCAGGGTCCCGAAGAATGGAGCACAGCAGATCCTTGTAGAGACGCACTTGCCGTCGCCATTCAGATCTCAGGACCTTCAGAACTAAAGATCCTTACCATTGACGACCCGTTTTTGGTCAGGAGCTCTGACGAAGTGGTGGATTTTTTGAAGATGAACGCTGACGTAGGTTTTTTGGCATGTTCATTGGACATTAAAGATCTTTATTACTCCTCACCTCATGACAAATTACGAAGTTGCGTTGAGGATTGTATTCAGGGGTATGGGGTTGTGGCTTTTCAAAACGCTGTGGGCGTGACGGTGGATGACTTTTTAGATCTACTCTCGTTTTATCTTAAGTCTACTTTCGCGGAATGGAACAAAGACACGTACCTTCAAAAGGAAGGTATTTGTATCGGCTCATGTTTAGCGCCCATTTTAAGTGACATTTTTTTAGCGTATCATGACAGAGTCCTTTCGGACTGCCTGAGCGATTTTAACGTAAGGAAGTGTTTTAGATTTGTTGATGATTTTTTAGTATTTCTTAACTGCGACTCGACACATTTCCATTCGGTGGTGGATAGTCTTTTAACTATGTTTAGTGATGCCCTTCATCCCCTGAAACTTACACATGAAGTGCCCGTAGATGGTGTCATCCGTTTCCTCGACATCAGGCTTACTTTCGTCGAGAATCATGTATGTTGGATGTATCAACCTAGAGCCAACAAGCCCCTGCTGCCTTTTAATTCGTCCCACTCAAAACTGGTTAAGAGAGGGATTGTTAATTTGTGCTTCAAGAACGCCCTTCATAAGTCATGTCACCACGTGGCACATTTGAGTGTCCAGGAGCAGTCTGAACGTCTGTTGGCGGCTGGCTACCCGGAGGCTGTACTGGTGTCGGTAGCCGAGGTGATCCTTAAGAGGCTTCGAGCTAAGGGCAACACCCGTCCAGAAGAGGCCAGGAGTAAACAAAGGATTGCAGTCGTGCCTTATATGCACAAGACGGCGCATAACCTAAAGAAAATAGCAAGCCGCATAAACACTAAGGTGGTCTTTTCTGCGCCAGAGAAGCTAGCCAGGCTTAGTCATTTGACGAACCCTTTCCGGAAAGCCTCGCTGGGTTGTGTGATTAAGCACAGAAATCCGTTTGTCGTTTGTGTTGAGGGTGTGGTATATCAGATTCCCTTAACATGCGGTAAGAAGTATGTTGGTCAGACTGGGAGATGCCTGAACGATAGGCTCCGAGAACATAGTCTGAACGTAAAAAACTATCGGGATGGCCATCTTTCAGTGCACTGCCATGACTGCGGATGCAAACCTTTGTTTGACTCATGTTCCGTACTTGCTAAACATAAAAATAGAACTGTTAGGGAGATTATTGAAGCAGACGAAATAAAAAGGGCAGGGCTGGGGTGTGTCAGCGTTGCATCTATCGACCTTTTCGATAAGGAAGTGCAGTTCATGCAGGTGGCGGCTAGGCCTGGGGTTGGTTGATTGATAGGATCGAAGCGTGTATATATGCCTCATTTCCATGTTGATTAAATAGTTGCAGTCAGCGCTCGTGTCTGTCTTGTCTTTCTTTCTTTTGTCCTCGTCCAAAAAAGCGCTACCATGCCTTTGGCAACCCAAGACCAATACCAACTAGCCCAACACACAGCTTTGATAAATACTTGTTCCCAGAAAAAAAATGGGAAACAATAGGAATGCCCTACAATGTCAAGGTCTTCAGCTACAGCGCCAGTCAGAAGAATGTTATACATAAAAAAGACAGAAGAACCATGTAAGAGAGGGTAAAAGCGCTAAAACGTACAACACAGAGCGCTACTTGCAACTGAAGTTTATTCCCAGGAAACACACATATATACACACCGTGAAATCGCGACATGTACTTTAGAAATGCGACATCACCCCCCTCATCGCTCGTCTGTCCGCTATCTATTTTACAAAAGATTTCAAAAACGCCATCTCAGAGCCAAACAGGGCTATAGATGGGGCGATGTTTGGCTCTGAGATGGCGTTTTTGATGTTTGGCTCTGAGATGGCTTTTTTGAAATCTTTTGTAAAA